ACGTTGATGTCAAAATCCATTTTGAGATTAGAATAAAGTATTTTAAAGAACAGACGTGCTTTATTTGAATAGGTATGAAACTTCACATTAGTTAAATGGGTTGCTCACTTACGATAAATAATTTATTTTTACCTAAGTGTTTGTGAGGCACAAAATATGCAAGCCACAAATTACTTATTTCGTGAGCCATCCGATGATAGGTATACATTTTTAAGCAACGATCGTAAAAGATCGTTGCTTAAAAATTTATACCTATCATTGAAACATTTTTTTACATCGTTTTATGTATGTACGATACATGTCTAGTGGTCGAAAGTCGGCCATAATTCTAATTCAATTACAACAGACAGTTTTGACTGTTTTGTTTAATTTAATTGACCAGTACAACATATACTGTTGCAGTATATAATTCGTATCTCAACAGGTCAACATAAATGTGTGCAGCTGTTTTTAAAGTGAGACACTCACCTATTACAAAGGTAAATTTTAAGTATTTCGAATTTAACGTTCCTCCAGTGGAGAAATTTTCTTAAATTACTTACTGAATTGTCTTAATGTCCTATGTGCTCGTGATGCTCGTCTTGGGCTTCACAATTGACCTGAATTTTCTTAAATGCGCACAAATAATTCACGTCACACATCAAAATATTGGAAAGCAAGAAAAGTATAATAGCAGTGAAATATAGGGCTATACATATACGTTTGTACTTCTCCAAAACAATAAATTACCCAGAGTCACTATACCCCATATTGATCGAGGGTCTACATTTCCATGTAAATGAATTTTGAAGCGGTGCGTGTTATCACTGCTACATATCTTTAATAACCATAAATCTGCTAATCGAAACTCCAATGATTATTTATGGTACAGAAAAAAAAAACATTTGAATTTTAATCATAAAAAATCAATGTTTCCAAATATATTAATTTTATGTGTCGAGATCGATCAACTGATCATGAAAAAAAAAGAATATCAAAATTATTAAATTACAATACCGTCTATGTTTGTTCTATAGAAACCTGTTGAACAGCATTACACACTCAGGAGTGTTGTTAGCAGATGTTCGCCCTCAATAACGAATTAGGAAAACAAGTGACTCGAACATATTAATAATTTATTTATTTATTTATTTATTTAATTAGAGCATGGAAGACTTACAGCTACAATTGTTCAAAACGTTACCAATTACAATAATTGCCTGAAAGCCAATTACAAGTCTTCACTTATAGCACTATGTTAATAATTTGAGGTGCAATCAAAAAAAAAAAAAAAATTAGAAAAAGAAACAGTATAAAAAATTTACAGACTATAAATAAGCTAAATCACGGTCTCAACTAGCCTCCTGGGTTATGCATGCATTTTAGGTTTTAAGTATTGTTAACTGAGGTAAAAAAGGAACGACTCAAGCACCTTCTAGCCGAAGGAATACTTGTAGCAAAGGGGTCAATATCGTGCTGTTTGCATAATCTGTTGAATTTTCGGCTTGCCCGCACAATATAACTATTTTGCCTATAATACGTTGTAGTTCTAGGTACTCTTAGTGGTGGATTGAAACGAGTTGACTTGCATGGAATATTAAAATATATTTTGGCTAAAAGCTCAGAGCAATCTATATCGTTGTTTAGTAGTTTTAGAATAAATAAATAGTCAGCAATTTCCCGTCGGTCAGAGAGCGGTAATATGTGAAACTGTCTACAGAGTTGAAGTTAATTATTAGAGTGATATGGAAGCTTTAGATGGTAACAAAGGTATTTGATAAAACGTTTCTGTATATTTTCCAAACGGTTTATATACACCTGGTAGCGTGGGCTCCATATAAGCGAGGCATATTCGAGGTGGCTTCTGACGAACGTGCAGTATAAAATTTTGAGAGTCTTAGCTTCAGTAAAAGACTTAGAAAGGCGCATGATAAATCCGAGTGCTTTAGAAGCCTTCTTAGCAATGTTATCGATATGTACGTCGAAGATTAGTTTGCTGTCGTGGTGTACACCCAAGTCACGGATAGTATTTTGTCTAGGCAATATCGTTCCACTCAATGTATAGTCATTAAATTGTGTAGTATGTTTCCTAGTGAATGTAACCACTGAGCATTTAGAGGGATTGAGATCAAGCTTATTAATCCTACAATACTCATCGAGACGACATAAGTCCTCCTGTAACTCAACCGTGTCTGTAGACGAAGATATCGTTTTAAAGATCTTCATGTCGTCCGCAAAGCAGAGTAGCGAGGACGAACGCAGGCACGAGTCGATGTCATTCACATATATCACAAACAACAAAGGTCCGAGAAGAGATCCCTGTGGAATGCCGCTTGGGACCATAACCCAGGTGGACATGTAGTTTTTTAATACAACAGCTTGTGACCTATTGTTTATATAAGAGGAAAACCATCTGAGAAGATCACCACGAATACCAATGTCGCTTAATTTTTGTGTTAAGATGGAAGAATCAATACGATCAAATGCTTTACTATAATCTGTATAAATGACATCGACTTGCCCACCCCCGTCCATCGCCTGCGATATGTGATCGTTTAGTAAAATTAGATTGGTCACGGTTGACCGCCCCTTCAAAAACCCATGCTGGAATGGACTCAGTGACCCTTCAATAGCCGGGTATAGCTGGTTGTAAATGATCCTTTCAAATATTTTAGCTATGATACATAGTTTTGATATGGGTCTGTAATTGGTTATTTCAGTTTTTGAACCTTTTTTGAACACTGGAGTGATAAAGGCAGACTTCCATAATTTAGGGACAACACCGGTAGAGAGGGACTTTAAGAAAAGAAGGGAGACAGGTAGAGAAATGGATGTAGCACACCTAGTGAGAAACTGTGAGGATAGATTGTCTGGTCCAGTGCCTTTAGTCGTATCCAAGTTACTAAGCAATTCAGCAACGTCAGATTCTTTGACCTGTATACGAGGAATATGAGATGGAGAGTCTGAGGGCCAGTAGTTCGGGACATTAATTGGCTTGGACCGAGTACTTCCGTCGCACGAGCTTAAAAAGGTTGAGTAGAAGTAAGAAGAGAAGGCCTCGCAAATATGGTCGCCAGTCTGTAAGAAGTCACCGTTATAGTTCATTACACTAGGAATCACATTGGATTTATAACGGCTTTTGACAAAGGTCCAGAAGTGTTTTGGGTTGTCTTTTATTGATTGTTCGGTTAACTTAAGGTAATGCTTATAACAAGCATATTCCATGGTTTTTACTCTGTCACGTAACAATTTAAACGTATACTCATCAGATTTATTACCATAGGTTTTGAATTTGCGTAGGTATTTATACTTTTCGCGAATAGCTTTAATGAGCGAGGTGGTATACCATGGTGGATACGTCTTGTTACGGATGGACTTTCGAGGTATGTATTTATTTTGCAAATCAGTCATACAACCATTGAAATATTCCACTGAATCATTTATCGACAGTAGCGAGAATTTATGTTGCCAATCTGTGGATTTTATGTCTTTATTTAATGAGTGGTAATCGCCTTTGCTATACACGTACCGCATCCGAGGCGCACAATGTAGAATAGGTATGTTAAGAAAGGATATACTAACTAATAAAGCCGGGTGATATGGATCAGTGGGTACTAATGGGTCAGAGCATTCAGAGACCTGTACGGGATCGCTTGAAATCACTAAATCCAAGATTTTCTCAAATTTATTCAATACGCTATTATATTGTCCGAGGCCTAGGGTACATAATTCGTCTGCAAGTAGGTACTCATCCGCACTCAAAAGATTAGTTGGAGAGAGTGACTCATCATTACTTGGTAACCATCGAATTCGACTCATATTGAAGTCACCAACAATTAAAAACTTATCGCGGTTATTGTTCGTAACTAATTGACTTAGTTTCGATAGAAATATTTCGAGTTGATGTGAAAACGAGAGGCCATTATGTTGTTTGCATAAGTATATAACACAAATGTATAAGTTAATGTACTCGCGCGTGTATGTAATACCAATCAATATTCGAGGCAGGCCTAGTGAAAACTGTATCAGGATTTACGCCACCCGTATTTGTTAAAGACGCGATGCTTTGAATACCACTATTTTGATTTAAATAATATATAATCAACTTAAATGTAAACTCCTAAAAAGGCCTACACAAACTAAAATTATATCATCCAAGTAAACAATAATATTCATTAAAAATCTCCTAAAAAAATGTTTATAAAATAATATATAATCAACTTAAATGAAAACTCTTAAATAGGCCGTACACAAACTAAAATTATATCATCCAAGTAAACAATAATATTCATTAAAAATGTTCATAAAATGAAAACTACTTTGCCTAACTATGTTAAATTTTTATGGGACCAAATGGCAACTATTCCGCATCAAACTAAAGAAGAATCACGTAAATCGGATCATAAATCTCAGAGTAATCGGTGTACATACATAAAAAAAAAATACCAATCGAATTGAGAACGTTTCTCGTCAAAGTTTCTTATAACTGTTAAGTAGAAAAGTTGTTAAGTATCTAAGTAGGTAAATAATTATGCCATTTGTTCCGAATACAACAACCATTTAAGGTAGTATGAGCAATTCGTACACACATTCATATATTTATAGAAAATTACTGCAATAATATCCAAAAATCATTAGTTTTTTTTTTAACTGACATGAAAATTCAACAAAAAGATCAAAAGTTTATTACAATTAATTATTTTTTGACCTATATAAATATATATATATATTTGTTAGTTTTCTAAATACAACTAAACAAACATTAAAGTAAGAAAATAACCAAAAAAATGTAGAATGTTAGGTTCTGCTGAATTTTAGAGGCATTTCGAATTACTACACATTCACAAATACTAAAAAGTCAATGTTTGTTTTTTATTTCTGATAAGGAGCGGTAGTCTCTACAACGTGAATCTACATTTTGGTCAGGTGTAACAATTGTGACGTATTTATAGCTAAATATCACATACTATATATCGGCTCTCGATGACAAAGCCGTTAACGTGTCATTTTCAGCTCATAGCTCATTTGTAATAACGGTGAGCAGACTCCGCCAACAATGGCGGGTGCGAGTGCCGGTACCAAGTGACGTCAATAGACATGCTGTTGTTGTCGAAGTGAATTGTTGTGCTGCCGACTCCTGTGCTCGCATAAGCGATAAATCCTGTAGAAACAATAGCACAGTAGGCGCCTACCGTTGAACCATCGGACGAGCATAAATCAGTCGCTTTACTAACGTGGACCGTGTTGTATGGACAAGCGGGGCTGTAATAAAAATGATGTCGGAACGTGTCCCGATAATCCCTGTCTATACCATTATAAATCTGCATCTGTAATCCTTTTTAGCTTGTATATGTTAGGGAAAACTTATTGTTGTTTGCTTTTTTTATTTTGTTACTTCTGTATTCTGAAATATTTAAAGTCAAACTATGTTATTCGACTGACGTTCAATTTTTAACCTTTAATTCGGTTTAATATTCGATTTGTTCTAGTCCGTGGCACTGTCGGGTACGACTTTACATGGTTTATTAGAATCACTGCGTTATCTATAGGTAAGGAGAAAAACCCTAAAAATTACCCCGGTAGATTTTTGAAAGACAGAGAAACATTCATAAAACACAACACCTATATTTTTTCTGTGTCTTGGTTTCTAAAAAGCACAAGAAAGTACGATCGGCACTCTATGATTTAATTTAAAAAAACATTGATCGTAATCTCAATGTAAACAAAATTAGTTTTTTTTTTCATTAGTATTAAGAATAATTCTTGATAGCAAAGTTTATAAATAAAGAACTGAAAATAAAGCTCACAAAAATTAAAGTGAGCGCTTTTATACTCGTAATATATCTACTGTGTGTAATTCACAGTCCAGTCGCTGCAGTTGAGGAGTTTGACAACTTGCAATCAGTAGGTACATTTACTGTAACTGATAACTTCGAACACACGCCTCTCCAAGCAAAATGTTTTGTAAGTTGTTGGTGTTTAGAAACAACATGGATTCGATCTCCTAATATAATCCTGGCAGTAGCGATTATATAGTTTTTTAGTTAATATTCCATAATGCTAGTTGTGCTAATTTTCCGTGTGGTGACGAATTAAGAATACGGAGTGTCGCCACTCCTATTCATCCCGTCGTAAGAGACGACTAAGGGAGAAAACTACGTTGGACAACAGCACTGCAAAGAGAAGAAACACTTTAAACAAACCCTATAACAACCCGCCAGCTTTGTATTGTAGGCCAAAACCTCCTTTCATTAAGAGAGACCTATGTCCACCAGTTGACAGCTAAAGTCTGTTGATGATGATGATGAATGCTAGTTGATATCCTTTTTCTAGTTGTCTTGGAGAGGTCACAGGTTATACGGATACGTGATAGGCCGCCCGCAGCCTCTTCATGCGATTGCTGTCTTAGTCCTGTTTCTTATTCTGTACTACATCTATCGGCTTTCTAAGGAAACCAGGACCGCTTAATTGGGGATAAGTCCACAATTAAACTTCTCCTTTGCTTAATCCGGAAATAATAACATTCCTTGGGAATGTTATAACGTCAACACTCCTTAGTGTTGATGTTATAAGTTATTATGAATTGCGATGCTACTGTTTAGATTTCCATAAACATTCTTGCAAGTCATTTTTTTCTTATAAAACTAAATTAAAGGTTTGATAAATAGAAGACTACCTCGGTGTTTTAATATTAAATAATCATTTTAATTTTGAGCTGACCTATCACGACAACTAGTAGATTAAAAAAAAATAGCTCCGCAAGTCATACAGCTATGCCATTACATAATATAATAATAGTCAAACATGCCAATAAGATATTTAACCAAATTATACATTAAATAGCCCACCCCTGGTCAATCCCGGTGCAAAGGTGCCCATAACGCTAGCTGCGTTCCCACGCTGAATAGCAATGGCCAACCTCTGCACTAGGAGCGACCCTCCCTTATGTAAATATATATACTATTTGTATCGTGGGCTTTTATTCAGTATTTAATTCATTGTTGTATTGCTCGTAACATTTCTTTAAACAATCAAGGGAATCACTGAATACTAAAAAATACAAAGCAAGATTTCAGTTAATAATTTGCAGCTGTTTGTTTTAATTAATAAAAAGAAAGTCCAGTCTTTTTGCCATCAACTTCTTAATAGCTATGCGAGCATTGTAAGCAACAAAACAATTAATTATGTGAAATGTTGAACAGCGTTTCTAACACGATTTTAATTCAATTTTCAAGAGTAATTTCGCAGCTCATTATTTAGATGAAAATTAAAAATAATACTCTGAGCCGGGCTACGATAGTCTTAGTCTCTTAATAGTCGTAATATTTTGAGTCGACTATTAGAAGTCAAGGGGTTGTATTGTAGGAAAGTGTCGGCAACTGTCGTCGAATTTCACAATTGCTTCTCCGTCCGAATTTTTATGGTCCCTTTCAATAATTAAAATACTCCTTTAATGGTCTTGAGTCTATAATGTTTGTTCTTAATTAGAAAATCCGATTTATTTCTTACAAAAAGGGTTTATTATTAGAAGCCGTCAAAGAAAGTGCTTAATTAAAATGTCTTTGTTGACAAAATAGATATTCAAAGAGTGCCTTCTGAAGAAAGTCAAGACAATAGTCATTTTATTCTTTGATTTTTAAATTTGCTCATTGAATAATACCTGTTTATGATAAGCCAATAAAACGAAAAAGTATTTGTCATGGTTTAGTTGCTTAATACAATATTTAATTACATTTGAAATACCGGAAATCATTAAAATAAAGAGAAATTATTGTTCAAGATCCTTGTCGGGATCATTTCCTGTCTCTGACAAAAGTACAAAATTCGTTGATGTACTTACAACTCCTTGAATCCAAACCTGATTCATTGGTTGTGGGTTTCATCACAAACAAATTATTATATGCAATAAAAACTAAATATTTAAGTATATTCAAATTCAAATAGTTTATTTATTTATAACTTTGAGGACCAACAGCTTTAACAAATTTGTTTAGCGCAAAGGTTTGCAACAGCAAACCAATTAGTGATCCCCACGTTTAGTTCAATACATGTTTCATTTATATTTTGAGTAATCAACGTTTATATATGTACACAGTTAAAATACTAGAAACACGTTAGGCACTGTTTGTGACAACAGATCAAGTGTAGGTATTACATTAAATCAAAAATAGACCAAAACAACAAAAAAAAACAAAATAAGGCATAAACCTAAGAGAAGAAACTATTACTTATTTTGTGTCTCGCTAGCGTGGCGCTTGTAGCAAATAATTCGAAGTCATATTTTCTTGCAGCCGCATTAAAGGCATTGCTTGCTCGCGGAATAAAGGAATTTTGTCTATAATTGGTAGAACATTGAGGGACATTTATTTCAGACATAGTCCATAGGGTTAGTACAAACAAAGTAACTTAAGGACTAATGTTAGTAATACACAATTAATTATTATGGTGACTCTTGTGGATCTTTGCCCAGTGGCGCAGCAGAGGGGAGTCCCACCGATCCGTAAACACCTTCAGGACACTGCTAGTAGCGGTGCGCAACCGGCAGACGATGGATGCGGTCCTCTTTCTTAAAATTCGTCTGTGTGCATCTCCGCAAACATACCGGACGCAATACAACGCCACGACAGCCCCGACAGCATCCTGAACGCGTTGTTATATTGGACTAGCAGGTCTCCTGTCCTCCATGTCCTCTACATAAAACTGATCCAAAGACTGCACGTGTAAACGGACTGGACTGGACTGACAGAATGCTTTAAAAAGCGTAACCTTCACTTGATTTGTACAGCGTGTAAATCTTCGAACCAGCATGTTACATCGAACAGCCAGCGACCTGCGTTTGTTTACATCTATGCACTCATATTCTAAAAGCCTTAATTTTAATGGTTCTAATCGCTGCGTTTGGAATAAAAAAACTAAACTCTATTAGTATGTATCCCAATAAGTTCCCAACTCACAAATTTTATAAATGATATAACTTTCGTTTTCCAAAGCATCTGATTCTTAAATTTCGTTTTATGTAAATCTGGATCCTTATATCTCAACTTAAATCTAAATTTAAAAATTCCTAAGTAGGTAGGTATGTCGTTTTGCAACCAAAATCTTATATCAAAATCATTTGTTATTCAAAGTAAGAAGTTGTTCATTGGTCGTGTGGGAGCGCTAACCCGATGTGAATATACAATTTTGTAGATAACACTGCGAGGCGCAAGGCAGTGTCATATATGTATATACATAGCCTAAAGTATACATGGAAACGAAGCTGTGGCACCTACAGGTAAGACTTTTGTACATTTTCTTTTAAGTTAAAACATGTGGTCGTACCTCTGCTATTATATACGATTTTTTCTTCAAATTATTTCTATCCCACTTAGAAAGTTGTAGTAGATTTTAAAGACCCCACTTATATTGTAGTACTAGAAGATTCCCCAAACTATTTAAGGACTGTTAAATTGTCAGAAACCTGCATGACTCTTCTCTTTTTCTACCAGTCGACCTTAGGGTGATGCAGAGCCAAACGTGGTAGATGCACAAAAATGTGATTTATTAAAACTAAAGCATATATAGAATATCATATAACCAGAGTACTTATATAAATAACATTGGAATAATTTTAATGATAAATACAATAAGTAATACACATCGACTTGTTGAGTTTTTTTAAAGTACAACAATGATACTTTCCACTAAAATATTAGTCATTCTTAACAAGTTAGTACACACTACACGTAACACAACTAATACAGTATCTTGAAAGTTTCAAATAAGAACTTGTGTTAATTAACAGGGGTCGAATTTTAGACCTCGTCGACTCCCAAAATCAGTTTTCGTTCATGTCTACCCCTGGGAAACCGATTTCGATCCCAAGGGGTCGATATCGACCACTTTGGGCATCTCTGGGTAAATAAAGAAAAAACCACTCACTTTAAGCACTCACACCTAGCCATTAAAATGATAATATGCAAATATTTGTTTCGGAGTTTGGGTATTTTCTTTGTATAATACCTATGTATATATTTACAAAAGTATGTAAGTATTCTATCGGTCAATCTAGCTTTCATAGTACAAGCTCTGCTTAGTTTGAAACTAGACGACGTTGTGTGATAGGTGTCTGAAAAATTATTATTAATTTTAGTTTTACTTAGGTTATAAGGGGTTAGCATATTGCTGTCAACCACATACATTAGGGATTGGGATTAGATAGGAAGAATGGGATCTAAAAAGTAAAAAAAATAAAAAAATGTGGGAAGTAAAAAAAAATAATATTGATATCCATACGTCCATACTATAATATTATAAATGCGCAAGTGTGTCTGTCTGTTACTTCTTC